TGACTTAGTAGGAGTACTTGTATTTCAATGAAGTAAAAAGACTGCAAAATTATTTACGATTCAAAGCTTTAATATAGTTTAAAACTAGACATTCTAGTTTACAGTTATCCTTATTGTGGATTTATACCATTCACAGGCGTAAACAGCTATCATAAAACCTTGCTCATATTGTTATTTACTAGCAGTAGCGGTGATAGTTCATTTATCTAATTTACTATCAAAATATTAAGTAAATTATCTTTTTCTAGAAATGGTAAGTATTGGAACAGTTACTAAACGAATTGAAATGAAAACACATTCCTACATATCCAAGTTATTCACCAATGAAAATTAGAAATTCATTGACAGAAATATTGATTACCTATTTCGCTCGAGGTTTTATACCATTTTATCATGACGAAATCTGTTGTTATTAAAATATACAACAGCTTTATTTGAAATCAGTAGTATAATCCCAGTAGATTTAACACAGCTAGAAGAACAAGTATACATCATAGACATTTCAATGTTCATTTTAGTTATATATAATTAAAATAGCACTGTTTTCGAATAAAAAAGCAATCATCATAACAGGTAAGATGATACATACTAATAGAAATTTACATAACGTTGTTTATTGTAATTGAAAATAAGGTGAAAGTTTCGATTTTTGACAAAAATGGTAAATAAACATTGAATGATCAAGAACTTACAAAATAAATAGACATTTTTCTGAGAAATAGCTTTTACTTTACAGTAAAAGTCATCAAAATACATTAAAATGGGGGCTACTGAATATAGCAGTTGGAGGTAATTAACCTTGGACCCGGGTTTCATGCTATTTGGCACTCGTCAGCAAGGTGAAGTTGTAATCTTGATGGAAGTGGTACTTCCTGACGGATTCATTCCCGTGTCACCCAGTTTCACAGTCAGAGATGTTACCGTTGGGATATCTGGGCAGCGATATGCACTCAATGTTGAGTCACCTAGACTAGTGGCCACATTGCAACTTAATCGGTAGCATTTGATCTGCTACTTACTTTTACATTGCATTTATAAATTGCAATATAAACAGTTAAGACTAGTCTACTAGTCATTAGTAAAATTTAAATGACTTGAAAAAGCATTTATTAGTCATAAACGTAAGTTTATGTTTCATGAACGATTATATTTTATTCTACTTGCCAATCCACTTGTTAATGATTTGTAATTTTAACCAATTTATTTAAAACAATCGATGTTCGACTAAAAAATAAGAGATTAACAATATCACCATAAAACCGAGTGACAGTATGTTATACATCATTAATAAAACCAACATTGATTTACCAATCAACACCATATAGATCCTTAATGAAATCCGTTTATAACGCTGTGAGGATTTGTCTACATATTAGGAACCACGACTTACTGTTATAATTATTATTAGATGAAAATGTATGTTCTGAGGATTCAAGTGACTGATAATTTATTTTACGAACTATTCCAAAAATCTTTACCAAATAGATATCTAAATGTTGAAACAAATTTTCTGAATATATACATGAAATATTTATAATGATACTTCTGTTAAAAAAGTTGAACTAAATCAGTATAATTTGTCCAAGTCTCAAGTAAATAAAGAAGGAGGAAAATACACGTCAGAATGTAGTCAACAACTATGAATCATTAAATAAGAACTTTCACCTTAATTTGGTCGAATAGTTTCACAGTATTTGGACGCCCAATTAATGTGAGATATTAAAGAGGAAGAATGTATTTATAAAATCTGAGCGAATGAATTTTGAAGTAAATCCAACGTTTCGCCTGGCAATCTGATCCAAGCCTTTTCAAGAAATGAATATTTCCTTGAGAAAGCTTGAACCGGATTGCCAGGCGAAACGTTGGATTTACTCCAAAATTCATTCGCTGGGATTTTATGAATTTATTCATCCTCTTTAATATTAATCATTAATTTGGGATTCACTTTAATATTAGTTGTTACGATTTTATTAAGAGTTTTTGAAGTAATAGGAATGTTTGATTAATATAAATATCAGAGGAAATCAGAAATGAATAAGTAATCCCACCTTTTCAATCTTAATCCATTTCAAATTACAACTAGTTATGGATAGGTTTATGTTAGAGTAAATTTAATCCAAATTTTACAACAGGGAATTTATAAAGAAAAATAACAAGAGAAAATATGAACTACGAATACTTCTAAATTTAACGGTAAAGGTAACGTTTCATATGGATTAAAATATATAATAAATCAAAATGATATGACCGGTACCATAATGTTTGGACTATATTACTAATCTACGTATTATAAGCTTTTAATGTTGACAATTTCTGATCTAACGGAAGAAAAAACCTCAATCAGCACTTTCTTCATTAATCTTGAAATATTTTCAGTAATATTGTGATGAGCCACAATTCAAATGAACAATTCACCTTATTATTTTAAATATAGGATCAGACACATGATAGACATAAAACTACTATTAAAAAGTATTTGTTACTTTTCCTGATTTCCGGTTGTTTTTTTGTACAAGTTAAAATCATTTTTGTCTGAAATTGAAAGAAAATAATCTGTGGAGTAAACATGTTTAAAACTAGAGTAAAGAGATTTATCATATACCATGAGTCAGATGCCAACTTCATTCAAAACATCGATTCTTCTTCACTTTTAACATTGTTTGAATCTCCCCATTGATATTTAGAACTACAATTGATCAGTCTCTTATTGGTACATGTACATCCTATGCGGACTGACTGGATATTGCCTTAGATCGCAAGCATTATAAGCAGAGATGGGTGATGGATAGCAGTGGAATGCAGTACTCTCGTCTCGTCTTATTTGTGACACGTAAGTTTGACGTGCCTGTATCCCAAAGTTGATGTTCACTCTGAGATCCGAACACAAAGCTTGAATGAAAAAATACGTGAACAATCATTATATCAGTAAAATGTTCCTGATTACTGGACATGGTTTGATTTAAAGTAAGAGCAAATCTTATCAACGAAATTTACGATAGTATTATGAGTATTTGATCGTCTACCTTTATTCTAATTTTAACGACAATATTTTTCGTAATAGAACGGAAAATAGTAATGGTATGTTTAAACCTGATATAATAACATGTATCTTATTCAAAAATATGCTTGTTATTTTGAGTATTTCTTTGTTTACCGAAAATTTCATTATACATTACTAATAACATTATTATTATCATCCGTATTTAGGAAATGAAACATCTCGAAGTAGACTGGAGTCCAATTTAATAAAATTAGATTTATTTCTATATTATACTGTAAGAAATGATCCCATGTACTGTTTGGTTCCACTAATTTTTTAAATTCGTCTTGTGTTGGACAGATCGGATATTCGTTTGTGACCATGTAGATTTCTCCTGACTTATTGATAGTCATATACTCAGTAGTTAACATCCTTATGCCCCTGTGATTAATAGGGTTTATCCAGCCAGGAGTTAGCAGTTCACATGTGACATTGAATGAACATCGAAATATAGAGTATAGTTATAAGTGCAAGCTGCTAAATGTTGACTAAGTGACTGATTTATTGTGAAGATGTTGGTGTGTATATCTCAAACTAAAACTAGGCTGAAATGATTTTGTTTTCATTAGGTTTGTAGCTGGCATAAATGTTTTTGGTCTATATAGAACGTATCCACAAATTATTTTACTAGAGAACAGATACTGGTTTCAAATAGTCGAGGACTTCTTGTTCAGCACAAAACAAATAGTTATCATAAAAATAGTTTGCACGAATTTAACGTGGGATGAAATTTGGTAATCTTCTCAAGAGACATCTCATAAACTCTGAATGAATACTTTTCAAAGGTTGACAATAATCATAATTATTAGCAGAGATGGACGACAACTTAAGGTAATAACAAGGTAATCCACACCGGACGCACATAAACCAATAATAGTTTGATCAGTTGCAATCCTATATATCAGTGAGAAGATTCAAACGACCAATACATAAAATGAATAAAGTTAATTGTCACAAAGTTGAGTAGGTCTGTTTTTTACAGTAAATGAAATATATCTACTTATATACAAACGTCTGGTAGAAAGTTGCCTTCAAGAATGGACAGTCGGATATTATAGCCTGTAGTGCTGAGCGGTGTGTATTTTTTCGTACTAATTTGTACTGATTTCGTCGAAATAGATACATCTTTTAGAGATCATTTTTGTTTGAAAAATATGTCCTTATTGGTAAAAGTATTTTAAGACATTTCTGACTGGTAATGTTATGATATACTAACTATAGATTGTATAAAGTATTTTGTGTGAGCGTTGACAATATTAAACCGCATTTTCTCAGTAAATTCGGCACTATTCCACTCAACGGTAATTTTAACGCTATTTTATATTAACTTTCAGAAATCGGCTATAATTTACTACTTAAAATACCTTTTAAAGATTGGGATAAATATTCCCGTCGTTAGTAAATTTTAAACAAATAAATGAACAAAAGTTTTACAAACTTCGTAAAAGCTATACGGTTATTTCAGTTTAATGAGAAAGATATATAACAATAAGTATAAATAACTGGAGCAGTATATTGTTTGTTTCAGAGGAAATGAAACTCTAACGTGGATGCACACTGAAGAGGAATCCCACAATAGGACGAAACGGCCGTCCAGTGCTTCCAGGTTTTCAATGGTGGCTTAACACCAATTGGTTCATGATCTAAATCAAAATATGACAATCTCCACAACCCCTATACTGAGACTCTATTTGTTTGATTTGTGATAAAAAAGCTGGAGACTCGTTTATTGAAATAAACATCTTTGCCATCAATAGTAAATAATGCTTAAAGCAATATATAAAAATGTTGTAATAACACTAATATGTGTTGATTTATGGTTACGATAGAAAATATTCAATAACTGATATGTTAATTAATCTTTTTCCTACGAACTTTCTTTTGATTGGTTACCTGAATTATCTGAATCCCTCATATATGGTTTAAAGCATCGTCTAACCAATCACAACAAAGCAAATAATACAACTGTTTAAATGTAATCATATACTGTTCAAAGTAAATAAACAACAAGTACATTATAAGTAATCCAAATATGTGAATTATTGGATCCAAATATAAAAGATTTAATTATGAATTCTATGATTTCTAATGAAACGTGGAATTCATCTGTTTGGAATCAATCACAAATTTTAGCATCACTATCATCATTCCCATCATCGTCATCATCATCATCTTTTTTAGTAGTCACACAAGTTGATGTTACAGATTTACAAGTTTATGTAATACTTAAACATTATTTACCAATTCCAATATTTATTGTTAGTATATTATGCATTTTAGTCACATTGATTGCAGTTACACAACGTGGTTTATGGCGAACTACAGTTACATATATTATTGTATTAGCTATTGTTGATTTATTCACTTTAATATCATTATGTATACTTTCTATGGATTTTTTTATTATACCAGCTTTACCTGAAGGATTATTTACAAGAGTTTATTTTCTAGTTGAAACAATATTGGGTGAATTAGTTGATACATTATTATTAATATCAAATTGGTTAACTGTACTTATTGCTACTGAACGTTATCTTGCTGTATGTCATCCATTAAAAGTACGTTTTATCGACTGTAAATATCGACGTATCTTTATTATACTTGTTATTTTCTTTAGTGTATTAATCAAACTACCCGGATTTATTATATTAGGATATGCAAAAGAGATTAATTCATCATATACTATTATAATATTTAGAAAGATTTATATATGGATAGTACAAATTTTATTATTTTTAATAATTCCATTTAGTATATTGACATTTGTCAATGTACGTCTAATACAAACTGTACGTAATTCATTACAATTAATTAATCAACGAGGTAAAAAAACAAATAAAGAATCAATTTTATCTTCAAATTCTACTCAAAGTGATACTGGAATAATGCGTAGAATTACATTATGTTATCCATATTTATCTTGTTGTATTTCATCTACTTCAAATAATATTTATTCATTTCATCAATGTTCCAATTCATTTTATAAAATATTTTGTTGTAATTGTTATAATTTATCAACGAAACCGGTAAATAATTGTCAACTTCAACATAATCAACAACAATCAAATCAATCAAAGAGAATTTCAAAGAAAAATGAATTAGTTCAAGTGAATGATTCATCACCAGTAACAAGTCCAACAAGTTTAACAGCAAGTGAACCTACAGGTGCTCAATTAGGACGTACTCAAAGAGAAGAGAAAAAGATTACAATTACATTAATTTGTTTAATTGTAACATTTTTTATTTGTCAAGGTCCATTTGTATTAACAACTGTCATTATGCGTTTTAGTAGTACAGGATTTTATTTATCTGATACAAATAAAATTATTAATAACACTTTATTATTATGTAATACATTTACAGATCAAAATCATATTGAAACAATAACACCAAATAAACCATTTGGTTTTGTAGATTATATAAATCCTATATCTGTGATTGCATTAGCTTTAAAAAGTGATTTATCATTTTTCTTTTATTGTTGGTTTTGTGATCGATTTTTATTAGCATTGAAAAAAATAACACATAATAAATGTTGGCCAATATTGAAAAGATACAATTTTCACAACACTCATCATCGTCATCATCAACATCATCATCATCATCATCATCGTCATCGGCATCTTCATCATTATCATCAAAAATGTAGTAGTCATCCACATTTACAAAAATTAACTAAATCTCATCAAAATGAACAAAAAAATATTATTGAATTAAATATGCCATCAAGTGGTAGCCTACCAGCTGAATATCGATTACCACATCATCATTATAAAGATGGTGGTGAATATTATCAATATCGTATACCTATTGATATGGTTACTAATCAGCATAAAATTATAAAATATAAAAAACCTGCACCTTTACCATTTAATTTATCTAAACATAATAAAATGAAAAAGAAATCTGTAATTAATTTACCAATGAATGTAAAAATTTCATGGTCATCTCCAAGTTGTTCAGATAATTCATATAAATGTTCGTCATCACCTAAAAAGAAAGGTTCTTCTTCATTTGGTTGTTCAAAAAAATAAATTAAATTTTGTAAATAATATAAAAATAAACAAATCGATAAAGTGATAATTGTTGTGATTGATTGAGTTTTTCATGTTTATTTTTAATTTATATATCTATGTACATGATTATTTATGATCATAAGATGCTTATAAAATGTCTTTTATTTATGACTTCTAACGCCGTAAATTATTGTTAACGATATTTATTGTGGATGAATCGATTACTGAACATGATTTCATACTGTTGATCTTGTGAAGAGGTTATGTTTCATAAGTTACTTGACACATTTGTTCCGATCGTATTGTGTTTTCTAATATGAATGGTTAATATATGAAGGTTTTTAATATCGTTTCTAGACAACATCACAACTTTATATTATACTTGAAATTGATTTGTTTATTTAACCTAAAGTGTTCAATCAGTTTGTTTTGATAACCTTATCAGTGAATTGCTGTTTGCCAAGGTTTCGTCAACATTATTCATCTCTGTATTATTGTTGAGCAGTTTGTTTTATTAGTTGACCTTGTTCGTATAATACCGTAACTAGGGTCTCTATTGATATTCTGTAGGCTAAAGATGAATCGGAAATGTCAAACTTCAAGAAAATCTATGGCATTCTTTGAATCTCTTCTATCCAGAATTTTGATTTGGTTTTAATACTTGAAAAGAAAAAGAGGCAAATTTTTGAAAAGTATAGATAAATTCAATTGTCTGTTAACGATAAATTATAAAAGAATTCACCTGAATAATTATAGTAACTAATCGATTGTGAAAGTGTTTCTTAGTTTGTTTATTTTAATTCAATAAATAAACAACATTCATCCAAAATCGATTTTGTTGTGATGTAAGATGTCAAAATGTATTATAATAATTATGATATAATCTTTAAATTCTTTTAGTTAGTTTAAATGGGATCATTATTTAACGTAGTAATCCTCATCTAAGCTCTTCAAATAACTGTTTTTTCTTACTTAATTTGGTAATAAGATAGAAACTAAATTTAGGTTTATGCCATAAAGTAACATTTTATCATAAATAAATGGTTTTATTACGTCATTGATTGTGTTTAAGTAGATTTTTAAACTGGAGAGTATGATGATGATGATGATGATGCCCATAATGTTATTTATAAATGAAAAAAAAGATGGAAGAGTCCGGTTTACGAGAATTATGGAATGTATTCAATTACCATTAAGACTTACTATTAATGAGTTATTTATTTTGTATATATTATTTCATTGAAATTCATTATAGCTTTTGTTGTATACTTTTATATGGCATACTTTATTCATTTATTATAATAGGTAATTTTTAATCTTAAAAGACATTCTGTTATGACGAATATGAATCCATAAATGAATATAATACATAAGAAAATGAAGAATATTGTTACTAGAAATTGTTAAGTAGGATAATGACAAGACTTACTGACATTATCAATGTTTCTACTGAGAATGTTTTCATTAACATGCATACATTGTGTTCAAACCCAATTGAATGTACCAGTAAAAAGAAAAGTATCATCTTAAAACAACCTTTAATAACGTCTGGAACATATTATTGGTCAAATTAACAACATTTTAAAGGTCGATTCTGATAACTAGTATCAAAATATCATTCCTATACACTTCAACCATTTATTTGTTATATTTCTTGGTACTAACAGAGGGATTTTTTAAATCTCTCAACTTAAAACTTCAACAGTTGTCTCCGAAAAATTCATTAATACACCACTCATGTAAAGTTTACTTTGGTTTTCATAAGTCATCCACTAAGGTATAACTTCGTATTTTACTTTCTAATTTCTGAACCAGTGGTTTGTGCTGATGATGTCGTTCAGAAGAACGATGAAAGCTCCACGACCAAACCATCCAACTCAGAGAACAAAACTCCATTAAAACCAGTGGTTTTCTTCTACAAATTAATTCCTTTAGTTGATAGAAGCGTCTAAAATGTTATGATACAGTACTGAGATAAGTTTTACGTTATAAATGAAAATGTTTGTATGAAATATGTGTTTAAACTTTCATGAGAAGAAAAGAACTATGCCAAAAAATAGAGACATGAACATAGAATTATTTTATTCAATTCTATAAGTTATTCATGCCTATGGTGATTAACCATTCAATGAATATTCGTTCTTCTAAGTTCTACCATTTCACGCAGGTTGATTGACGGGCAATAAGATCTCGAGAGAAGGCGTGAAAGCGTTGAGATGTTTTTTTCAAGCAACCAATGTCTTCAGCGATGCTGCGTTTTTTGTAATAAGCTAGCAAGTTGACGAAGATGCACCCTAAAACTATTTCATTTCACTTTGAACCAAGAATTTATGTCGCCGTTGGTAAGTTCTTCAAAGTTCTGAGCTAATACATCAAGAAATACTCTCAAAAACAGTATGTGACCAGCTTTAAGCAGCTGTTCATAGGTTTCCATGGTGCCGGGTTGCCAAAATCACTGCTAATCCAGTTTTGCTTCAATTTCCTCAAGAAGAAGAAACATTTGATAGTGTTAACAATACTATCGATATTGTCACTAATTCTACTGCTCTGGGATTCGTTTTGGTAACTCCATTTTACGGTGATGATGTGGTAAGTTGAGTTAAACAGATGTACGTACGTGCCTTTTTCTGTGTTGCTTATGGTAGACTAAAGTAGTAATCATTATCAGAAGAGGTTTTTATGATTTTAGTAATTTAATAGCGCACTTTTGAGGAGTCTCATACTAGGACGAAACAGCCGTCCAGTGCTTCCATCTTTTCTATGTTGATCTAGCTTCAGTTGATTTATAGTATTAGTTATTATTAGTTCGGAAATAAAGTAATATTACAGCACCAAAAAACCTTTGGACAATCAACTGAACAAATTATATATTAAGTCAGCTAAAAATCACATTTTATAATAATTTATCAGGTAAATGCTAACAGTTACTATTTTCATTACCGCCATTATCGTCAGAAAGAACGAAATAGAACTAAACGAAAGTCCTTAAATAAATAATAATTGATATAAATTACGGCTTGATAGAGACAACTTATTTAATGATTTCTAAGTTTATTCTTTAGTTTTAAAAGCCACTAATTATATAATGAAATCAAACAGATGTATCAGTATATATTTAACACAATTATTTTGTTACTGTAACGTTAAAACATCATATTACAATTAAGAAGATCAAAGTAAATTGAATCTTTGACATGATCTATACATGTGTAACATTTAAACATAATTTTATTGTAACTACAGAATTAGGACTTGTGAAATATACTGAGGGAATAGCTGTAAAAAGCTATTAGTCTATTAAATTTGTTTAAACAAAAGGAAACCGTAAATGAAGTTGTATTTCTGCTATCTTTACATCAAAAGAACTTAAATAATATGGGAAAAAACGATGTGATGATTTACAATTTTCGGTGTGAACCACCTGATCGCTTCCTAACACAGTGTTTTGCACATTTATTAATTTTTATTTTTTGGTGAATAGTTTTCGGTTAGACTAAGTAGTCACGAATTAATTTTTAATAGAATAAAGTCTATATGAATTATGGTAATATTAGCAACAACTCACATTATTCAGAGAAACTCTTAAAACTATCCAAGATTGGTAAGTTTTTTTAAAGTTTAGTTCAAAAAGTCTCTGGATCGTTTAGTCAGAAGTGTATGAAGACTCAAAAAGAAAAACTAAAATTTCGTAAAAAGCATAATGATTTGAGATCATTCAGTAAGAACCTGGCAACTCATGTTCTAAACATAAGTTCATTCATCATATAACATGACGACCATTGATATGATTATGACAAACAAAACTAAATGAACAGAAATTTTCCGTCTTCGTTGTTTGTATAGAGGCCTGATATTATAAAAATATTGTTGACTACTCATAAATCATTTGTTGATTCAAACTAAACATGGAATATAAATTTAAATAAAGATGAAATTCATCGATTTTAAACAAAAAATTTAGTTATGAAAATCTGATGAAATTGAAAACCATGGTATTTTCAACATTTTACTAAATAATTAATTATGTCATTTTAGCCTTCATAAGCTTCAAAATTTCATATAAATAAGACATAATTGAAAGTTTTCTAATATATTTTGTGACATTTTGTGTACAAAAGGAAACAATTTAGAATTACCTGGATACTCGTTATTCTTATTTTATGTCATAAATAATGTCATAAAACTGATTTAACAAGATTAAACATTTCACTAAACAATATGACATCATTAAGAGTAAATTAGATTGAATTATTTAAACAAATTAAAATATAGTTAAACCAATATTGCTTGACTCATTCAACGCATCATAATATTTACAAAGATGAGGTTAATTTGTCAAGATTTTTGATAAGAATATAAGCGGTCTATCTGAAAAATAATCAGTTGTGGGTTCTTGATTTCGGAGTTGTTTTATTTATATCAGAAGGGGTTTCCGTGGATAATAGTTGAGATGATGAGATAATTGAAGCTAGACCATCATGGAAAACCTAAAAGTACTGGACGGCCATTTCTTCTTATTGTGGGAATCATCAGCAGTGCGCATCCACGATCCCACCTAGCAAGATCCGAACTCAGGATCTATCAATCTCACGAGCGAACGCTTAACATCTAAACCGCTGAGCCGGCCGGCATTCGATGGTGTAAATGTCTAACATCAACTAATCCAGAAAATCAAGCCATACATCCACAATTGTTTTCAGTGAGTTACTGTCTCACAACAGACCCGGTTGAACTCCACTGGTAGCAATTACACAATTATGAATTAAGGATTGTGAATGTTAATCGAAATAATTTTTGTATTGTCCATTATGTATGAAATTTTTTTAAAATTTCTTTACCTGCTGTTAATAATTCTTCAATATTCTGGGAAGTTTAATAAAAATCACGTATTTGTTTATATTATTAAGTAAAAAGAAAGTCTGATCTACAAGAAATTCAACTACTGAAAGTCATACGTAAAAAAATAGTTTGTTTTCTTTTTTCATGGTTTTTATGATAATTTAAACAGAGTCGAGTCATTTAGTCTAATGGTTACAATGCAACCTGATGATCTTAATGAATTTTTAATAAAAGACCGATTATACAACATTAGTTACTAATTCATGAAAAGTTGTTTTAAACACTAAACATTTATAGAAGATCAATGGCATTGTTTTTGAGAGTGTCAATGAACATTGAAAGTTTTAATTCGGCTGCTATTAAACGCAACTCGATTTCGTGAACGTGGCAGTCAGCTTAGCAACCAATCAGAATGTGAGATCGGTCTCCCATAAACAATTTCATAAGGCAATAGTTCTAACGGCGAAACACTTTGTAAGATCTGTGAAGGCTCACTCCTGTTACATTCGAAATAAAAGACAGTAATAGCTTTAGTCAACAATGTTGAAAAGGTAAGTAAAAAAATCACATGTTTCTAAGAAAAGAATTTATGCAGCTGTGATTTACCTCGAGTTCATGAATATTAGATCACGCTAGCTACTACAACTTGTGCAAAGCATAGCATGGGCTTGGTACCGTATCGCACAGCTTTTATTATTTTGCTCCCATTTAAGTATTCCCATGCATCTTCGTCGTAGATTTAGTGTCTGGTAAACTAAAATTCCCAGTTGTCAGAAAGATTTTTGACATTTGTCCACAGCCAGCATCATTTGATTAAGACAGAACACTCCTCATCTAGGACTGTATACTTCTGTTTTGCAGGCAACTAAAAGCTCAGACACTTAGGTATCCTGCTACCGATGTCATTACTTGGGAAATTGTTTAATGACAGTGATCTTTAAATATGGATAGTGCTAGACGTGCAGTCTACAAATAAACAC